CCCGTTTTCACCATCTTCACTCACCCGTCTCTACAATCCTTCCTTTGCTTCTGTCCTCCGCAAAAAACCGACTCGATAACCCTTCCCCCCCTTCCTTTCTTCTCTCCCCTTCCCCTCAACTGTCCCTTCCGTCACTACCGTCCCCCCCTTACCTCAGAGGGTCGTCAAGGGAGGCGTAAGACATTGGTTGCTCGGCCTCGTCTAGTGGTGGTCCTGCGGGTAATTTACACGGAGCGTCTTCCTGTGCAAACACTGTGGTAAAATATGCATTAATTAAATATTTGAGATGGGGGGGAGCAGGCAGTCAGAAGCTCCTCGGTGCGTCGGAATTTCATGATTCGGGTCTGGAGATTCCTTATGTATTTGTGTGTGTGTGTGAGAGACACACACACACACACACACACACGCGCACACAAACACGCAATACGGTTGAGTGGCGGGACCAAAGAGCTATAGCTCAACCCCCCGCAAGCACAACTAGATGAGTACACACACACACACACACACACACACACACACACACACACACACACACACACACACACACACACACACACACACACACACACACACACACACACACAGGTTGTGGAAGCAAATACTATTCATAATTTTAAAACCAGGTATGATAGGGAAATGGGACAGGAGTCATTGCTGTAAACAACCGATGCTCGAAAGGCGGGATCCAAGAGTCAATGCTCGATCCTGCAGACACAACTAGGTGGGTACAACTAGGTGAGTACACACACACAAAATCGCTCTCAAATAGACTACAGAAACTTTGGTCCATCCGATCACTAGGGCTGGTCATGCTGTGAAACCCGTTACCGTTGATTTAGAAGCCACTGAGCGCCGGTAAATTGAACTATTATACAGACGAACGAGGAGTACTGGGTCGGGGCTGAGACGGCGGGAGCGAGGACCAAGGACCAGGAAGCAACACACACACACTGACCTTCCTGCTGGGGAGGTCTACTCGTAATGACGAGAGTTGGCAGCGGAACATGACGACCTAGCAGTCAGGAAAACATTATTGCCGGGAAAACCCTCGACCAACCATCTTATTCTTCCCTCTGAGCTTCCAACTCTTCTGTTATCTCCGGTGTTAGCTGGACACGTTTGTAGTGCTTGGTAGTTTATATTCTTTACTATGGGGCGCCTCACAGTTACTATTACGCCTCATCTATGGGGAGACGATGGAATCTAATTTAAAATAAGGCTCACCTCTGCGTAAACTTAGCTTTCTCACTGACATGTTGCTGCAGATATTGCTCCTCTGTTGCCTCATCCACGTTGAGACAAGACGCTTCTTCGTTAGCATGGTGATTTCTCGCTTAAATGATTTCAACCACCCCATGAATGTTATATGATTGTGTTTGCTTATGTGTGTGTGTGTGTGTGCCCTAGAGTACCAGAAGACGGTGCCAGGTTGGGTGCCAGCTCAGGTAATATGACCCGTGTGGCACTCGGATCGGAACGAGCCGAGGGAGTAGTTAACGAGCGCGCGGGGACCTTATACAGCCCGTAATTGGTTTAGGTTCCGGCAGACTTGTCATTTATCAAGGTTAGTTAACTACCAACTTTCTCTCCCCACTTCATATATATATATATATATATATATATATATATATATATATATATATATATATATATATATATATATATATATATATATATATATATATATATATATATATATATATATATATATATATATATATATATATATATATATATTTTTTTTTTTAAATAATAGGGAAGGGAAGTACCACCACTGGCTGGAAGAAGGGGGACCCATAGCCTCGGAGCGAGAGGAAGGGAGGATAGGCAAGACAGAGAGTTCATTAAGTGATGAAACAGGTTCAGTTGAAGGTTGGGTAGGTCAGCTCATGGGTGGAGAGTCAATAAGGGAGGGAGAAGACCCCATGAGATGAAGACTAATACAAAGGAGAAGTGCAGCGAAAGAGTGAGTGATCCGGGAAAGAATAGAGGAGGAGGGGGGGGGGTGAGAAGATGATAGACATGATGTAGATGTAAAAAGTCAGGTGGCATGAAAGAGTTGGTGGCCAGGGAAGTCACATTGCTTATTTGGTTGTAGAAACATTTTAACATTTAGGTCAATAAAGAGAACAAGGTGACACTACGCTGGGTCTACTGGACTACAGTTTGCCTCATACTTCCAATATAACCCAAAACTTGTAATGATGACGTAGAGGGGGTATATAGTTTTCTCAAGTCCTAGAGTCTACAACAGGTACCAGGATACCAGCCCGTCCTCCTAAGGTTTCCTAAAAACTGTCGTACCAAAGGGCCCTCTACTAACTTTCCAGAGGACTCTGAATAGAAAACGGGAGAGTATGTCAAATTTCGCGAGCCTCTACCATTTTCTAGTACGACGATTTTTGCCCTTGAGTAAAATTTGCGTCAAAATTCGACGCTTTATTTATGAGGATGAGTTGAGAATATAATTTTCCCGGCCCATCTGCGATACAGCATATGTACCTAGGCCCAGCTTTTTGTCCTCCTTTGGGCGACGCTGTGTAGCAACCAGTAGCAGCAGCAACAAATATATATATCATTATTTGTTAATAATGCTACTTATACTATCGACCCATAAACAATTGAGTCAGCATTTAGATTCCACCCAGAGGGCTCGAGAAGCACTTGGTCTGTGCCCTTCCGCAGGGCGAGTGTAGACCAAACTGTGGGCTCACTTCCCTTTAATCTTGAGTTTGTGAGGAGTTGTTTGCGTCAAGTTTGGGGTAAATCTTGTGTTGGTCTTGGCTGGATGTTTTTCGTCTTGACCATTAAAGGAAGAAAGGAGTCGAGGGAATAGGGAGGGAATGGGGGGTGGGGGATGAGAGGCAAGACAAAAAAGTGAAGGAGTGATAGAGTGATAAAGGCAAGGAGATAGGCAGTGATGATGTGGAATAGGAGGAAAACAAGGCACGTGAAGATGAGGATAATGATATATATCCTCTGTTCTATCCTCCCTATATACCCTATTCTGTCTCACTCTATCCTTAGCCTTCCTCTGTTCACCTCCTCTATCCCCAAAATAAATGCCCACGCCGAGAAAGGTAATCCAGCTCTCACTTCTCCATTAACTTTTCAATTAGTGTGATCCTGCTACACTAACTGTGGACACTACAGTCTCTGAAGTTCGTCTCTAAAGCACATAGTTGATAATTATTACAGTTAATTGCTATTATTATGACTTCCTCGCAGGTAAATAATTTACTGTAAATCTGCGTAAATGAATTCAACTATAAATGTACAAAATTAACATTTATGAATTAGTTGAATTTGAATGAGCGTCGAAAATATTCTCTTGGCACAAAGATTTCATCCCAAAGGGGAAAAAGTGTTGCTTCCCCCCCCCCTCACTTTTAGCTTGGCTTCCCTAGCTTGCGTGTGTTTGCGTGACTAGGGAAGGGCTTGGCTTAGCGTTTATGGTAATGGTGGTTGTTTGGTAGTTGGGCAGTCTCGATGCCTGGCAAGAGGATACCTTAGCTGGTTTAAAAAGAAAAAACTGAGAAGCTCATGTGCAGTACCTTGCTTAGAAATGGAAGGAAAAGGACACACGGAGGCAAGAAATGGGAGAGAGAGGTGGGGAGGGGAAAGGGAAGGAGGAGGGTGGGCGGTGGGAAAGGAAGCCTTTGGGCAGAGAAGACTGCTGAAGAACGCTTAGAGAAGTGTTGACCGTTTCCTAGCAGGGTATTCAGTGTTTTTTAAAACGAAATATGTAATGTTTTTTTGGGGGGCATACATAATTTCTTAAATAATCATCTCTTGTGTGTGTGTGTGTACTTATCTAGTTGTACTTACGTAGTTGTGCTTGCGGGGGTTGAGCTCTGGCTCTTTGGTCCCGCCTCTCAACAGTCAATCAACTAATGTACAGGTTCATGAGGGCAAGTGTGTGTGAGTGAGAGAGAGAGAGAGAGAGTGTGTGTGTGTGTGTGTGTGTGTGTGTGTGTGTGTGTGTGTGTGTGTGTGTGTGTGTGTGTTTACTGGTTGTGTTTTTGCGGGGGTTGAGCTTTGCTCTTTCGGCCCGCCTCTCAACTGTCAATCAACTGTTTACTAACTACTTTTTTTTTCCCCACACCACACACACACACCCCAGGAAGCAGCCCGTGACAGCTGACTAACTCCCAGGTACCTATTTACTGCTAGGTAACAGGGGCACTTAGGGTGAAAGAAACTTTGCCCATTTGTTTCTGCCTCGTGCGGGAATCGAACCCGCGCCACAGAATTACGAGTCCTGCGCGCTATCCACCAGGCTACGAGGGTGTGTGTATGTGTGTGTGCGCACGCGCGAGCTTTTAGGCGGATCATAAGCTCCTGGCTCCCCTCGTAAAAGCGTATATTAGCTCTTACGCGCATGATGATGAACTTATCTATTTCTAGATGCGTATATCTGTCACGGGGCATATGTGCTCAGCGCTGATTTTCCCCGAACGTACACGTGTGCGTGCGTATGTGTGTGTGCAGTGAGAGGGTGGGGGGGGTAGATGTAGGGGAGAGGAGGGGGGGGGGGATGTAGGGGAGAGGGAAGGGGGAGGAAGCAGCTATGGGTGGTAGTGGAGGTAGTAGAGATGGATGTTCGCGTGTTGACTACACCCAGGGCCAACAGAGCCGTGGTAGCCGTCTTGGTGCTTGTGCCCAGTGCCAACTTGAACGTAGTGGAGAGACGTGGTACCCTTCTCTGTGGCCTGCTGGCACTCAGACTCCTGGTCTCCTCTCTCTCTCTCTCTCTCTCTCTCTCTCTCTCTCTCTCTCTCTCTCTCTCTCTCTCTCTCTCTCTCTCTCTCTCTCTCTCTCTCTCTCTCTCTCTCTCTCTCTCTCTCTCTCTCTCTCTCTCTCTCTCTCTCTCACCATTGCTCTCCCCTAACACCAGCTTCTGAAGGGAGCCCTTGTGAAGTGTAGTAGAACAATGTGAAAGGGCAAAAGGAAAATAAGAATTAGGCCCTAGTTTCCAATCAAAGAATGATATACGGGCCAATGAAGGTCACCACGTATCAGTGTAAACTAGTGAAGGTTACTTCCCTTCAGTGTAAACCCGTGAAGGTCACTCCCCATCAGTATAGACTCGTGAAGGTCACTCCCCATCAGTGTAGACCCGTGAAGGTCACTCCCCATCAGTGTAGACTCGTGAAGGTCACTCCTCATCAGTGTAGACTCGTGAAGGTCACTCCCCATCAGTGAAGACCCGTGAAGGTCACTCCTCATCAGTGTAGACGTGGGGGTGGACTGCGTCTTCCTGTGTCAAGCACGGCAACTGCTTGAAGATCGTGATTACGGATGTGTTGGCTTCTTAAGGTCTCCGAACTCTTGATAAGTTGGTCGGATCCCGTGTGTGTGTGTGTGTGTGTGTGTGTGTGTGTGTGTGTGTGTGTGTGTGTGTGTGTGTGTGTGTGTGTGTGTGTGTGTGTGTGTGTGTGTGTGTGTGTGTGTGTGCTCATGCTTGCTTGCATTCGTTTGTGTTTTTAATAAGTGCAAGAATGTTTTAGATAATCAGTTATTGGCCTCGCGGGTGCCTTGAACAGCATGAGAGAGAGAGAGAGAGAGGGTAAAAAGTATATATGTGTATATTCGCTTGTTTAAAGCAATACCGTTGCCGAAGCTTTGAAAATACTGCAATAATTTTTCTCTCAGCTGAGTATCCAGAATTTTCACCGAATTACACCAACAGCAAGAAACGTTACCAGTAATATATATATATATATATATATATATAAATGCGGGAGACTTTAGCAAAGTAAGCAGTTTATCTCCTCCCAGACCCGGAGACACTTGCAGGCGTGTACAAAATATCTCCAGATGACCCTGGAAAATAAGTGAATTTCGGTGGAGTGTGTGGGAGAGGTGGTTAATGGGCTATACTTTATTGGGGGGGTCAGTGTTGATGGGGGGGGGGGGGGAGTGCGCTAGTTGACGAAAGGGGAGGGGGAGTTGTGGTTGATGGGGCTATGCTTTACAGAGAGGGATAATGGTTGATGCCCCCCATCAAGGTTATAGTTGGGTTATCAACGAGTTTCATAATTTTGTGTACTTTTGATGAATCGAATGTCGGAATTCGTCTGTTTGAGTAAAGGATTAATATCTATGATTGTCACAAATTGCTTGTCCCACTTATTTAGGGTTGATGTCCATGACTAATGAGGCTCTAGACAAGCCAAGGGGTAGGAGTTGAGTGGACTTCGTAAAACACTCACAGACCAGTCACATATCTTGTCTTGAAGGATCTAAATAGTGTTGATCGATAGTGCTTTGTTGCATCAGTCATCACTCATTCTCATAGTACATTTCATAGCAACATCTCATTTTTCTAATACATTTAGCTACAACATATTCTTCTAATACATTCAGCTGCAACATATTCTTCTAATACATTTAGCTACAACATCTTTCACCTGTCTAGCAAAGGAAGGAATGTCATGAGCATCTGCGCCTTATATTTTTACTTAGAAGTTACAGTTTAGTTTATTCAGGATCAAATTTGTTTAAGAGGTTCATTGATGTGAGTTATGCACTTTTATGTTGCCTGTAAATTTCCTCTCACCTGATACTTCTCTTCACCTAGCAATAAATAGGTACCTATGAGTTTGACAACTGTTGTGGGTTGCATTCTGGAGGTAAGTCGTTGGCCTAAGGGGACCCCCATAAGCCTAACTGGTTTGCTTCCTGCCTTGCCAATGATAAATTAGAAGGAAATGTCCCACAGAAGTAAGTGGTGGGGTCACGCTACTCTGAGGAGCTCCTGCTTCTTTACTGTGACTCCGGAAGGTAGGATGAGACAGCCTCTGTATTCGTGACTTGTGTTTCTTTCTGTAGCCATCTGTGGAGACTCCTGTGATGGTACCCTAGCACATTATTATTATTATTATTATTATTATTTTAATTATTAGTAGTATTATTATTCTAACACCACTAATAATACAAATCATAATGAGCAAATCCACAAGGGCCTTGAAGAGGGTTCGAACCAATGCGCTGCATGTTTCCCAAACGGGCTCTAGTCAACTATACCATGATAAAGAATGGTAAAAATAATTGCAACCTGGACGTGCTACTGTACCCACCCACGAGGGGGAATTGTGTGAAACCTTGGTTAGTCGTCAGTGGAAGCAAATCTAAGCAAATAAATTAACAATGCTCACAAGGGACATACAGATGACACTGCCGATGGCGGCTCAGTTAAATATTCACAATGGACGGAATTTACAGTGACCAGCGTATAGAAAAAACAATAAACATGGAGCGCTAGACAAACTAATTGACGTTACTACCCTTGTGCGACCACCTTCGCTCTCTTTGCCGCAGTGCTCTTGAGAGTTGTTCAACACGATGGCTGAGGATCAGAGGAGAGAGGGAGACACGCCAGTTATTATGCTGAATGAAATTCAAACCCACACTTGCGATTTGATCAGGCTGAGTTACTGTCAGACATGCAAACACAGTTCTAGCTCCGAACACAGAGGACAGTCAATGGTGCGAGTGGCTCCCCACACACTTGCAACATGGAAGGCAGCAATGAGAGATGTACTTCATACCCCCCTGGCAGCCAAGGTTGACAGTATCACCGCCAACACCCACGCCACCCCTACTGGCACACGGCCGGTGGCTGGTAGCGAGAATATACGCAGGGGGAGTTGCGGTAGGGAAGGAGATGAATGGTTGCCTGTGTGCACACCTGCCATGAGTCAAGGCTCCACTGCAAACAAAGATCAGTCGCTTCAGTTTATAACGAGAGGAGGCATTTAACACATTGTTCCCACGGTAGTCCCCGTAGGAGCTATTGCTTGCGAGGCGAGGCGTTGGGTACTACTGAGGTACAGGTTATGTTGTAACCCTGATAGTAGCTTTACGTAGCTAGCAAAATCATTATTTTCTTCAGTGAATGGGGAGTAAAATAAAAAAAAGTCGAATTATATAATCTGTAAGAGTATAGCGTTTAGATGCCAGCTACGAGTGAGGAGGGAAGAGGTTAGGCGACCTGTTGTGAAGCCGCAGTTATACGCTCCATGTTTTCGGTAAATAATACGAAACTGCTGGTAGCAATGCAGGTGGCATGAGCGCCAAGATCAGCACACGCCAGGGGGCAGTCATGGCGAGTGATGCCCCTAGAAACCAAGAAGTTATCTTGTATAAGAACCTGACTACGGCTGATATCTAGATTGTGAAGACTCGAGGCTAAGCTGAATGACTCTTCGGAAGAGTCAGACATAGGAGGCCGCATAGCGTCCCTCGATTATGTAAAGTTGAGAACAAGGGTGAGTCTGATAACCATAAAGTTGGATATCTGTTATTCTAAGTGAAGTTTTAGGGACATTGATTACTGTTAAAGATATATTGGGGCATCAGGATGTGGTGTGAAGGAGTAAGTGTTGGGAGTGATGTATATTGTTAGGCCAAGAGGTGCTATCATGGGCTGGGATCAGTGAGCTGACAACGTGGACCGGATATGCTGCTAGACAGGTGCGGTCCAGGTGTGGGTGTGGACCGAGGTGTGGTCCAAGGTGGCCAGAACTAGGATGTAGATTGGGTACAGTCAAGTGGTGCGATGAGGGACGATGAAGTATTCTACAGCCGTGAAGAGAACGACGCACCCTGGGGGTCAATAGTGAAGATCAAGTATAGGGCGGCATACGAAGTGGTGAGGGTGACAGTTGGGGTGGTGTTGGTGATAGTTGTTCTACTGGCTGTATGGATGGCAGTAGTGCAGATGGCGACGATGGTGATGGTGGTGATTGTGGTGGTTGTGATTTTCTGGGTGGAGTAACCGTCCCAGAAAAAGTTGCTCAAGCAATAAATTCAATTTTGGTTGATATGAGCATTCCCCAACCCGCACTGCAGCATCCCCCCCTCCCCACACACACACACACACTACCTCGGCACTGTTCCTGTAGCTACAAGCTTATCTGGGCGCAGCGCTTCATCTTCCTCGCCGAGTACGTGTATATATATGTACCTGGTGTAGGAATATTGTTCCATGTAAGAATATTTTCCTGTGTATATTACCTCTGAATAGTATTCATTCATTTATTCGCTTCACAATTCATATACTGGACATGTTGCAGTGTCAATCTCTCAAAGAGATGACAATTAAGAGTGTGTTGCAGTCATGCAATGTATCTTCCATCGTTCATGATGCTGTCTTGCAACACTACGTCACCGAGTCTCATCCGGGCCTGGTTGCCGGGGAAGATTGGGAGGATTTTGTAGGATTTACATTTACTGCATGATCCTGGCACGATCCGCCGCTTGCTGCTACCCCAAATTCCTGCCACGGTGAAAAACTGGTCAGACTGGCGTGCCTTAGCTGGTGGGAGAAGGGGTGAAAGGTAGATAGGGTTGCCTGCAGAATTGGATATAGGGAAAGATGGATGCAGGGAGGCATGCAGTTGGCGAGGAATATGTGGCCTTAATTTGTTTGGTCAGAGGCGTCAATACCAGCAGCAATATTGTGAAGATGTGGACGGAAACAATAGTCTCACTCCCGTAGCTTCAACCTTCGCATGTACCTTATAAAAGTTAATCTTGAGAATGTGTACCTCACTAACTTCCTCACCTTCTCTACCAACGTAAGTGTTGTGTGGAGGAGTCAAGTTTCCCTACCCACACACCAGCCTCCAGCGAGGCTGTAAACGATTGGCTGGAGGTGGTGCATGTTCAGTCTTACCTCCAACAACACCGTTCAAATTCACTTTTAAAATCAAGCACTCACTTTACATCGCTCTTCTCGACATCACCGTTCCTGAAGATAACCGAGGAACCATGCGCTATGTCATGAACGTTGTCTATATCACCGCTATCATACTCAAGTGTTCCAGCCAACTTGAGACCAAGAAGGTTCTCATCTCATACGAAACGTATTATTGGTTAGTTAAAGAAGAGATATACCGAATCTGCACTTGTCCGAGACGGGCGGCGCTGCTGCAGACTAAAAATCAGTATTCCTTCACAACACAGGGAATCCGGGAGCGGACTGGCTTGACGAGCAGTGCTTGTAAAAGATGTCTTCACTAGAGCTTTGGTAGCAGTAGTGGTGTCACACGCCCACAGTTCCTGAACTTCGTATTTTGTTTTTCTTTTACCCGAAGGAGCCCAGCGTTTGCAATGGGAGAAGCGGAGATTGGACGTTAGTTTTTATGTGCATTCAGGAGTGATTACTTTCTTGGGGTGAGCAGAGGCGAGGAAGGTGCGCGAGGGTGTGTGACCTATCCTGCTGGTGGCCTGAACGGTGCCCAGGATGTATACATAGGGAGTATTCTTACTAAAGTCATAATGGGCTGAGACTTCGTAACATTGATTGGTTT